TACTGTGGGTGCCGTTGTGGCACCTGCAGTGGTCTCTGGTGGGACTGGGGCCTCTGGCGAGACTCAGGCCGCCACCGGTGGGGCTGGGGCCACGGGCAGCGCTACAGGTGCTGAAGGCACAGGTGCTGAAGGCACATCGGCTGCAGGAACAGGCGCTACGGGCACACTTGCACCAGGCGCTACAGGCACCCTCGCACCAGGCGCTACGGGCGCAACGGGCACTCTCGCACCAGGTGTTGAAGGCACAGGGGCTACCGGCACTCTCGCGCCAGGGGCTACAGGCACTCTCGCGCCAGGGGTTACGGGCACTCTCGCGCCAGGGGCGACGGGCACTCTCGCACCAGGGGCTACGGCTACGGGCACACTCGCGCCAGGGTCTGACGGCACAGGGGCTATGGTTCCTGCTGTGGCTGCCGTGGGTGGCACCGCGGCCAGCGTGGTTGGTGGGACTGGCACGGATGGGGCTGGGGCTACGGGCACTGGCACTGTCGCGCCAGGTGCTGAAGGCGCATCAGGCGCTACGGGCACACTTGCACCAGGAGCTACAGGCACGCTTGCACCAGGCGCAACGGGCACTCTCGCACCAGGGGCTGAAGGCACAGGGGCTACGGGCACTCTCGCACCAGGGGTTACGGGCACTCTCGCGCCAGGTGCTGAAGGCACAGGAGCCACAGGCACGGTCGTGCCTGGAGCTACAGGCACTTTGTCACCTGAAGGCAATGCACTTTACAGAGGCTCTGAGGATGGGGTCACGGGCACGCTGGCGCCTGGCGCGACAGCCACACTGTCCCCTGCCTCTACGAACACTCTGTCCCCAGGCGCCGTGGCTGCTATAGGCACCGTGGTTGGGGGCACCGTAGCGGCCGCGGATGCTTTGGCACCTGGGTCAACCGTGGCCCCTCTCGCTACCGTGGCTCCTATCGGAGGCACCGTGGCTCCTCTCGCCACCGTGGCTCCTATCGGAGGCACCGTGGCTCCTCTCGCCACCGTGGCTCCTTTCGGTGTTTCTACAGTTGAACCCATCCAGGCCAAGGACCGGTGCTTTGCTGGATTGAAGGTCCCGAGTTCGGGTTCTTGGAAGTAGCGTGAAACCGATACTCTGAAGGACACACACTTGCTGTGATCAGTCTAACATTGTCTAACCGAATTTAGCGAGTAGACTGATCCTTCAATGTACGTGCTTGCTTGTAGGGTTGTGCAGGAGGGAAGCGACGAGTCATCTGCCATCGCTGAGACTGGAGTTGCAGCGCAAAGTGGCCCGACGACGACAAAGCTGCCCTACTCTGTTCAGGCACATGGTGCAGAGTCTCAAGTCTGGAGTCTGAAGAGTTGGCCTGCAAGTCAATCCTTTTCAGGCGGGCCTTAACGCTGCAGCACTGAAGAGAGACGACCATGGCACTGTGGCCGAGCAGGCCATTCTCCCTTTGCGTATGCGCAGTCATCAGTATCATCAGTGAGTGGTGCTCAGCAGGCGGTGTCCGCTGCATCCACGGCTGGGTCGTATGCTGAAGCCTCAACTGTTCGATATTGTTCAGTGCTTCGCTAACGGTGTGGCGCTGGCACTGTGTGGCGTCCTCTTGAGCTGCTTGCATGGTGAAACCCAGCTACTACTTTGGGTGCATCGCATCCGTGCATGCTCTGAACGTGCTCCGCACGTGCTCTGAGGAGGTCCAGCATGGATGCATGTTCCTGAACTGCTAAGGAGGTCGCTAACTACTGGTCGTCACAAGAGCACGCTGAAGAGAAAGCCTTGGAGGCAGTCGCGGCTTCTCACTGCTGGACAGACATGGTGTAGTCACAGTAGCCATTGCGGACTCATTGGCGAAGTTCGTTGAGTCCGGCAGGCGGCTAAGAAGGTGTACATGAACGCCGGAGGCCTTCCCGAGGACCAGGCAGCGTGCTGCGTCCTTGCGAGCTGCGAGCTTGGGAGTCAAATGAAACACGTCGCAGGCGATCGTCGAAGCTCAGAAGGCTGTCAAGCGCTTGCCCAAGAACTGCAGGGATTGAGTAGGGTAGCGACGATTGGGCTCGGAGCCAAGGGCGGCAAAGGAGAAGCAAGGTGGCAAGTTTGCGTGCAGCTTAAGGGATGTGCACCTTTTCCATGTGCTTTCCATGTGTTACTTCCCGCTTTGTGTTCTTTGTGCACCAAGGTTGGCCCTGATCTGCTTCAACGTCATGGCTTTGCGGACTGTCACCGTGAGTTGCAACAGCTAAAGGTTGCTATGTGTCAGTGGTGATTCGGTCTAAGTCATTGTCAGTTGGCTTGTAAACAGGACTGTTGGGAGCCTTGCGGAAAGAAGGCAGGCTATTGCTCCAGCTTCTGTGGACGAGGAAACGCCTGCAAGGGCCTCGGAGAGTGAAGCCTAATCCAGGATTCTGGAGAAGTGCTCTTCAACCTCGTCATGTTTCTTCAGTTCTCCAGGCTGTCGAAAGACGGGTGACAACGTCGTCCCGCCGGAGTGCACAAATGCCGGGGACAGAGCACACTCCCTGCTGGAAATCGGAAGAAACCCTGAAGCAACGCTGCGCAATCTATCAAGGGCCTCGCAATGACTCAGACATGGCACAGCAAGAAATGGAAACGAACCGGAAACACCCTCGCAAGAGACGAGAGACATGGTCTTGTGGGTTGCAGGTTTACAGCTTCTACACGCCCCACTATGAGTGCATCAAGCCAACGGCTGCGATCTGAGTCAGTTGTGGGCGGTCCTCCCGACATAACGAAACATGAAGATTGCACAGGCCATCTACATGCCGGAGCAAGTTCGAGCCAAGGAGCAGGCCATCCAGCCACAGCGAAGCTGGTGTCTCCCGAGTGCCTCCCACATCTCCTAACAGTCCTAACATCAGGCAGGTGACAATGACACGATGGTTGTGGCGGCAGATGAGACTACGGAGGTAGAGGCACTGGGCAGAGCCATGCAGAGCCAGATCGTCTCAGACATGGCCAGCACTTTAGTGAGAGTTGGTTCAGGTCGTCGCGTCAGCAGCAGCGGCACCGCCCGACGATGGCTTCAGCCCCTGGCAGTGGCTGCTTGCAGGGGCCTCGGAGAGTGAAGCCCATTCCTGCACAACGGTTCTGGACAAGCGCTCTCTCTCTCTCTCTCTACTCTCTCTTTCTCTTTCTTGTCGCTCTGAAGCTGTCCGCACCTGTCGAAGTTTGCCTCCAAGTACTGAGCGCACCCTGTTTAAGTCTTGTACTGAAGCAACTGTTGCAAGCAGTGCAGACATTGAAGCTTTGGGTTGCTGGCAATGCGAAGAGTCCTTTCGTTCTGTTTATGAGAACTGATCTTCCTGAGATTGCGGCGACCATTCTGGCCTTGCTCTGCGCTGGCTTCGTCTGCCAGGAACCTTTTTGGTACTGCTGCCGGTTCACGGAAGTGGAGCATGGCAGCGCACGAACAGAACTTTGATGTGAGGGAATCACCCTTGCTGAGGCTGGACCCTGTCCGAAGGTAACAAGCGATCCGTCCCCCTCAAGACGGGGGCTGCACGTGGAGTGGAGGCTCCCCTTGCTCTGCTTTTTTGGATGGACAGCCCAGCATCTCCCATTCGAAGCGAATTCTCAGAGCTGTTTGATGCAATGGCCACCATGTAGAGCAGTGCCGGATGAAGTCGGAACACCGCAGGTCGCATCTCCGTCATCCAACCGCGGTGCTGATCTGGAGCTTCAAGCGCGATTCCCGACAGTTCGGTTTCATGATGGTCATGATGCTGCATGCTGGTCTCCTCTGCAGCCACATGCTTGCGAAGTCCATTCCTTTGGACTTTGGACCCTTCAATCACTTGCAACATACCTGTTTGGTTAACAAAGTTAAGGAATCCATTCCTTTGGGACCTTTCGGGGGGTGGGTATTCTTTTTGTTTTTGTTGATTTTAGTGTTTTTCCTAGGAAAACCTCCATTCCCTCTAGTTCATAGAATTAGGTCCATTTGATGTGTTTTTCCGAGGAAAACCTCCATTCCCTCTACATTTTTTCCATTTGTTGGCAGAAAGAGAGAGAAAGAGAGAAAGAAAGAAAGACAGAAGGAAGGAAGGAAGGCAGGAAGGAAAGAAAGAAAGATAAAAGTAAAACAAGAAAGAAAGAAAGGTTAACAATCCATTTCTTTTGGGACCTTTCAAATACTTGAAATGTATGGTTACGAGGACCTTTGACCTATGCTTAACATATCCTTCTCCTTGGGCCATATCAATCACTTGAAACACCCCTGTATGGTTAATAAATTCATTTTTTGAGCCCCTCGGCCAGGTTGTGGTGGGAGTTGCCTCCGGTCCTGTAGTTATGAAAAGTCTCAGTCCGTTGAGCCGGGGGCTTCGGTCACAAACTGACGTGGTGCAGCAGCGGAGCGCGTGCCATGCACGGAGCCTCGTCCCCTTGGCCATGCGTGCAGAGAGAAACGCGCGCCTTTCTGGGCAGCCCTCCCCTCGAAGGGGGTAATTATGCGGGTGGAGAGAGAGAGAGAGAGAGAGAGCCACCCTCTTGAGGGGGCCTCTTCGCTGAGTAGAAGAAGAAGAAGAAGAGGAAGAGAGAGAGAGAGAGAGAGCAAGCTAATTGTGTCAAGGGCAAAGCGGCAAAGCCCCACGTTATTTTTCGTTTTTGAGTCAGTTACTTCTCAACCTCGATCCGGCACCTCGACTTGTTTCACAAGCAAACCGAACGCTAAAGCACGCCCCCCAGAACGGTCCCTTCGGGGACCATGGGCAGAGGTAGTACGGAAGAAAGCTTTGTGTGATGGCTGTCCATGATACAATTTTTTGCACAAGGAGGGTCATGTGTTGGCATTTGCCTTTCAAGTATCATGCCCACATGCTTCCCAGCCTCACCATGACATTGGGGTAAGTGTCACAAGCGGATGTTGGGATTCTCGCGCCCGTCGGGGCGGCTGTTCTGCGTGCAGAGAGAGAGAGAGAGAGAGAGAGAGAGAGAGAGAGCGAGAGAGAGAAACGCAGAGTCAGAGGCCCCCTTGACTGCCGGAGCAGCCGCCGGTGCCGCTGGTGCCATGGCCGCGCCCATGCTGTCGCAACAGTGCGCCGCCACGATTATCACCCCGTCCTTCACATCACCACCCTCTTTTCTCCGTGTATTTCTACACTTGACCTTGCCACGCTGCAAGTTTCAATCGGTGCACATATATGTCGTAGGTATCGTTTCCTGCCGGGCGCCTCCGGCCAAGGCCTCCCGCAGCGGGTTTAGGGCCGTTTAGGGCGCCTTGAACTGCGAAGCTATTGCGATGCTCCCGTGCAGAGTGTCTAGTTCTAGCGACAATGGAGCAGGCTACCAAGCTGTGGCGCCAGAGGATGCCGGGATGATGGCCATGCCCGTGCTCACCTTGAGACATGTTGATGCTTATGCTAGGCTACGCAGCGCGCACATGCGCAATGCGCTGCAAGCAGATGCCAGCAGCATGAAGAAGCGCAGTGAGCAGCGCGCGCACAGCGCGGCGCAAGTGTGCGACCTGTTCCAAGTGCGGGGTCTTCCGAGGCTGGCTCGATGCGGGCCGGGGCCCCCATGCCCATGTCGGCTCCAGTTCCTGGGGTCAGCAGCCCAGCGCCACTGCAGCCACTGCATAGCAATTGTCAGTGTCGATGCTCGCAGCATCTCGCAATAATTCAACAGTCACCGACGCACCCCTGTTACAAGCACGTTAGCTTCATCGAGAAGCGAGTGCTTGGCACAAATTCATCGAGCTGCCATGTGTCACTCTTTCACAAAGAGGACTAGTCAGCCCATTCAGAGACTGTTTTTTCTGCGATCTGCACTTGCATGTCCGACACCTTGAGCAGAGGCCGGAGCTTACACCTCCGGTTCAGCTGTTGATGCCTCAGCTGCAGAAAGTGCAGAAGTTGACGGAAACACACCGTCGGTGTCGATGCAGGCTGGAGGCTACATGCCTGCCGGCGCAGCCGCTGATGCCTCAGCCGCAGAGGACATCGACGGAAAGGCTCTGCTGCTTTCGGTGCAGGCTGGAGCCTACCTGCCTGCCGCTGCAGTTGATGCCTCAGCTGCAGCTTGTGTGAGAGGGAGTTGATGGAAGTGCTCCCTCGCTGTCGGTACAGGCTGCAGGCTCTATCGGCTCTGTCCCTTCTGCAGCCGTTGATGCCTCAGCCGCAGCACGTGTGAGAGGAAGTTGATGGATTTCCTCTCTTGCTTTTGCCTGCAGGCTGTAGGCTCTATCGGCTCTATCCCTTCTGCAGCCGTTAATGCCTCAGCCGCAGCACGTGAGAGGAAGTTCGTGGAAGTGCTCTCTTGCTTTTGCCTGCAGGCTGCAGGCTATATCCCTGCTGGCGGAGCTGTTGATGCCTCAGCCGCGGCAATAGAAAAACTTTTCTGGGAGCGCCACTGTTGCTGTCGATGTAGGCTGGAGGCTACATGTCTGCCGGCGCAGCCGTTGATGCCTCAGTCGCAGCACCTACGATGAAGTTGAGGGAGGCACTCTGCTCCTTTCGGTGCAGGCTGGAGGCTACATGCCAGTTGCTTCTGTTGACGGCTCAACACGGCGATATGAGTTGGAATAGTGTTCCCACATGTTCCCACACTGGCACAGCAGGTTCCTCTCAGCTGAGGTTGCCACCTCGTCTCCGGCGCCAATGGAACCAATGATGGTCCCGTACTTCGTGCTGAGATCCTTTGCAATTTTGACAGCTGCGATGAAGCCAAAATTCTCATAGCGGACACTCCAATCGCCGAGCATCTGCAAATCCGATGTGTCCGACGTTCACGACACTCTTGATGTGTGGCTAAGGCTGGAATGGCTGGAATGGCTGGAGTGGCTGGAATGGCTGGAATGGCCGGAAGCTCCGCGGCCCAGGCACTCCCTGGCGTGTGTTCCACAGTCTTCCTTAGAGGTGGTGGACGGGTGGGTGTGGGTGTGGGTGTGGGTGTGGGTGTGGGTGGGTGTAGCTTAGCACCTGTCACACGGGGAAGGGCTTGCTTCCTGAGAAGCGCGCTGTGTTGTTGAGTGCGCAAATGCCGACATGCAACTGGCTTGGGGTGTGGAACTCTCGCCTGCATCACCGCGCAAGTGGAGGGGGAAAGGACAGGTTGGAAGAGGGAACATGGTTCGGAGTTAGAGACTATACTCACTCCCAAAACAAGCCTTCAAACTTTAGCACATGTTCAAAGCCTTCAGCCTGGAAGATATATCTGAAGCTGAAGCTTGCAAGGACATGTTCGACCGCCTCGACGCAAATCATGATGGCGTTCTCTCCCGCGCGGAGTGGCAAGGTGCCATGCAGGCAATGCAGGCCGTCCTTTTGGGGGTTGGGGCTGGAAGGAGTTAGGTGTTTCCCCCCGATTTAAGTTGCCTGATGCCTTGACCCGAAACCTCAGCCGAATTCTGTGCAGGGACCGGCGACCGACTGCCCGGTCTGCGGCAACGTTTTTGCTTACGACAGTGTCTTCTGCCGCAAGTGTGGACCACAGCTTCGACAATCAGCAGTGTTACCTTGCGGTGAAATTTTTTGGAGGGCTCATGACGTGTTGCCTTGGGTTCTAGACTCTAGGCCGCAGAGTAAGTATGGGCGTTGACCCTTGACAAAGGTGTGGAAATAGGCGGCCGGAGCACTGATCCAGCAACTTGGCAGAATGCAGGCGCACGACGTGGCATGTTCTGTCGCGTAGGCGGTGCGTTAATGAGGGAAGGGATGGCAGAAGAGGCATGGGATGTGAAGGGCAAGGGGTCTGGCAGCGAGGTTAAAGGCCGTTGATTGAGAAGCTGGAAGGGACTTAGAATAGAAGAGGACGCACTTGCTCTTTAGGGCCTCTTGAGGACAACTTGAGGAGTTGGAGGGGTTTTAGAGGGAAGCAAGGTCGAACGAAGATGCCACTGACATGTCGCTTGGGGCGGCTTTCGCGTAGTTTCTGATACCCCATACTTCATAAAGGACGCCAAAAGGGTAACGCAGCGGTTGCAGGAACCTGTGTGCTGCCGAGGGCGACGTTTAGGGGAGCACATGCAGCTCCCTTAAAGTTTTAAAGTTATACACGACACCGCTGCTTGCATGGATGCAGCTCGCATAGGTGCACAAAGCGCATCTTGGCCAGTGGGGCTAGTTTGGATCACGCTTGGAGCATGCTTGTGCCACACATGGTCGCGAGGGCAGGCACTGGTGTGTGTGTGTGTGTGTGCATCGCGTGATTCCTGCCAGCTGTTGTTGGCCTCGGGTTGTCCCTCAAGTTTTGGCTGTTAAAGACTTTGAGAAAAGACTTGTTGCCCTTTGCCTCTCAGAGGTATGTTTTGACCTCTTTCTGACCTACCTGGGCATCACTTCTCGAAGGCGGGGCAGCAGAGCCACCAGGAAGAGAGAAAAAGAGCGCAACACAAGGAGTAGGAGACATTCTCTCTCTCCCTCTCTTCCTCTTTCCCCCTTCTCCGCCCTCTCTCCCTTTCTTAGACTATCTCTGACTGCTCGGCTGTGTTGGAGGCAGTCGGATGTCCAGGCCTTTCTCTCGCTTTGTCTTCGCACGCAAGCTCAGAGCCGCTCAGCGTCGATCCCCATGATGCGCACACCGTTGTGCTGTGCAACGAGGATGGCAATGGAGCTGTCCGTTTTTTGCAGGCCGGGCAGTTGACATCCTGGCAACATGGGAAACATCACGTGATTGCATGCCTATAGAGACATACAACGTACGGCATGCAACTGGCATATAATTTGCATTCAATTTGCATACAATTTGCATACAATTTGCATACATCCAGTCTGAGAGTTATCTGGTTCCGTTCTGAGCGGGAAGAATGTGCTCGCCCATTCGTAGTTGCGCGACTTAAGGTACACATCAGCGCTTCACATGTTTGGCAGGCATACCATGCACGAGCGTCGATGCAGTAACCATCTCGGTCCACAACTTTGACCTCTTCGATAGAAGCCGCAGCATGTATCGTAAATGCCGAATAGAGTTGAAGGAAGTGTCAACATAGACGGAAACCCAGACCCTTGTTTGCACTTATTACACAATGATGTCACACGCTTCTCCATTTCAATGCAGCGGTGGCATGATGCCACTACTGCCATGGAATTTGTTCCACGCGGTGCTTATAATCAACCAAGACGACACCATGATGTTCGAAATATAATTTGCTATTCACACTCCACTGTTGCACCAATTTTGGTACCTTGAATGAGAAGGACTTCGTGTTGTTAAGACTTGAGTTTCAATATACTTTGTACAACTGGCAGGTTCTAGGCCCGATGACTCAATGACAGAGATAGGGAGAGAGAGGGAGAGGGAGCAGCTTGTGCTCTTGTTGGTTGTTGGTTGGGATCCCTGGTGCGTGCAGTTCCAAGTCGGTTTGTGCCAGCCGCTAGTTCATCAATGCTGGTTCATCCAGAGTAGCAGAGGCTCTTTTGAGATTCGTATGCCCAGACAGTTCGGCCTGGCCTCAGGACGTTGGTATGGCAGAGCAATGTGCCAAGCGAACGGATTGCTTTAGGGCTGTAGCATCCATTCTTGGTGATGTAGCTAGCAATCCAGGCAACCACCCTTCAAGCCACAGAATGCAAACTCTTGTCCAATTGAGGTCAACAACGGTGCTGAGTTTTGCGGCTCCCAGCAAATTGGCTGAGGTCGCTAGGATGTGCCATGCAGGAATCAGGATCCTTCAAGTGTTTGAGAAAGTGTCAGTCTTCAAGTGGCATGGCAACTATGTTCCTGCATGGTCACGGACTGTAGCCTTGTTATTCTCGGCCCATTCACATACAAAACATCATGTACGTACCAGCAATGCCGGTCACCTCCAAATTCTTGTGGTGCCGAGTTCCCCAGGCCATGCTAGCTCACATGCTGCTAATTATGTGGGTCTTTGGCGCGCACATGCTTTACGAATGACTTAAATGCTTCTTTTGAAAAAGCAGAGAGGTGCTACTCATATGCCAAGACCCTATGTTCCTCCAATGAGGGGAGACCGGCACTGACATCTCGCCCAGAAACAGACGCTGCCGTCTCGACCGCCCCCCTCCTTCCTTTCGCAGACAAGGGTTGCAACCTCGTGCAACCTCCAATTGCGTGTCAAGTGTGGCTTCGAATATTTTCGAATGGTTTCGAGCACCGAGCTGAAAGCCTTTCGGTTGGAGCGGGCCAGTAGCAGTTGTTAAAACGTTGACTTTGTGTTTCTTTGCCAAAGCACGAGAGTGATATGGCTACTATGGTAAAGAGCAGCTCAGCCTCAACATGTCAAAGGAATCTGCCAGGGATACTTTTAAGAACATTGCTGTTAGCTATTTTGCAGAAACATCTCCAGCACGGAAGCGCCATTGGGACATGACAAGCCTGCAGCCACTGCTGAGGTGGGTTTCGCAAGTTTCGCCAAACATGGAGGGTTGCGCACAGGTTTTAGGGTGACCACGTACTCTCGGGACAGGCGGCTGTCCAGTTCACTGCATGCGTGCTGGCAAATTCGCCATCAGGCCTGTGCGCGTAAGTCTCAGCACAGGATTCAAGTGTTGCGACCTGCCAGGGGAAAGTTGCGGCCTCTGGCGTTGTGAAGCCTGTGAGATCATCCAAAGTTTTCGCTGAAACGACCTTCGCCGACTTCCCTATCGATGATCGCCTTCGGAAAGGCTTGGAGGCGATCTGACAATCAAGAGCAGAAAAGCCATGGAAAGAGTTTGAGCAAGGGCCGTTGCGAGGATCACTGGTCACTGCAGCCTTGTGAGGCCACTTTGGGGAAGTCTCACCTCACGCCAGTGCAGCATGAGGTGCTGTTTGCTGTCGCCTCTTATGGAGGTTTGCTTGTTGCGCGTTTGGAAAGCCAACACCTCTTTGCCATGTCGTGTGCACGAGGTGCTGTCTCGTCACCTTGCAGAGAAGGACGCCTTTGTGTTGCATGTCCGACTGGAAAAAAGCCTCTTTTTAAAGTCTTTGAGGAGGCGGCATCCGCAAGGCAAGCCGACCTGCTGCTGCAGGCGTCAGTGGGAGCCGCTGGCAGCTGCAGCCGCAGCGCGGGCAGGGGCAGGGAGGGGCAGATGGGGGCAGTTTTTTCGCAGAGGCTCCAACTGGAACTGGCAAGACCATTGCTTTCCTGCTGCCGACGTTGCAGCGCCTCCTGCTCTTGGAGGAGTGGAATGCCATGTGGAATGCCATGTGAAATGCTAGGCTATGTGGAATGCTATGTGGAATGCCCCTACGCACTGAGCGAGACGATGTGACATGGTGATGGCGCAGGATGCCCGATGCGCGGGACGCGAGCTGCCCGAGGCCGGCGGGTTCTGAGGGTCCATGATGGGTAAAGGGGGATTTGGTGTAAGAATTGTAACGAGTGGAGCAATGCACTTGCCAGTGCCCAGATGCTGTCATCTCGTGGACCATGGGTTCGAGGCCTCCCTCCAAACTTCCCACACAATGCCAAACCCCAAACCGTCCCGGAAGCACATCGCCTTGTCTCACGATCAAGCAAACAATCAGAAATTGGCCCGCAAATCAGAAACTGCAAAAAGCGACTCAGAATTTGCGAATCAGAAGCCCGCACGAATCAGCGAACGAGAGACTGCTCCGCCTCAGACGTGATGGGGTGGGGGCGGGACGGGGGGGTGGGGGCGGGGGTAATCGCGTGCAAATATCACAATGAAAAACAAACGAGATGATTGGTCGAGTCGAGCCGAAACTTGTGGACTAGGGTCGTGCCTGTGAGTCCCACATTGAAGCCACATTGCTTACGAGCGAGTTGACATGTGGAGTGTTTGGATAGCGCAGTCGCAGGGTGTTCTGGCATTGGTTCTCGCACCGACGAGGGAGCTTGCGCTGCAGTCCGTGCCGGCCTTTGCAATGAAATTTTGAGATGCCATGAGCGATGTCAAGCAAGCGCCACTCTCGTGGCTCTCGTGGAGGCCAAAGTGGCGAGCCGATTGTTGCAATACAGTGGGGGCCTGGTGCGGAGTTCTTTTGTTGCTGGCAGCTTTTCTCTTGAGGACTGGGGCTGGGACGCACTTGCTGGGATGCAGCATGATGCATGGTGCATGCACGTTTGCATGCGCGTTTGCAGATGGCAGATGGCAGATGCATGTCCGGGCTCACAGGAGGACGTCAGGCGACTCCGAGAAGATGCGCCACAACTTCTCTTCGCCACCCCATGGCGCTTGGTCCGCAGCTCAGCCATGAGCGCATCTGCTTCTCAGCAAAGGTGCTTTGTGGGGTCCGCTTTTGCCCGCTTGCAGCACCTTGCATTCGCAGCTGAGAAGTCAAAGAGGGGGTGCGAAGTGCGGAGCTGTGAGCGCGGGGTTTTGTTTGTCACGGAGCAGACGGAACATGGATGATCATTGCAAATCCTCCTGCTCTGTTGGCGATGTGGCAAGCCCTGTGCTACCCGTTCAACTGACGACGATGAGCGGAGGTTCTCTTTTTGTGGAGGTTGGACAAATGGCACGTGTCCAGGATCTGAAGTGTGAGGTATTCCGCCTGCGAGGGATACCACCCGACTGCCAACAAATCTTGCGAGGATCCATGCCTGTGAGTGACTCGTGTGCAGTCGAAGGACTGTGCTCAGAATCTGAGCCGCTGAACTTGATCGTTTCTTTAGACCGTGTCTTGCAGGCTTTAGAGACTGATAGCATTGTAACCACCATCCACAGCTTGGATGTGATCAGCCGATTGCCTTCAGACTGCGTCCCTCACGAAGTTCTGCACAGGCACCTGACACATTCAAACGAGGACGTGCGCAGGGCCGCCCTGCGCGCGCTGCTGCGCACCTACATACCCACGGTTGATGCCTCGGCACATGCTACGCCACGTGCCACGGCACGGGCCATGGCACTGATCGCGGAAGGTCTCAAGGACAGAAGCCACGAGGTTCGGCGAGATGCCATGGAAGCTTTATGCAGCTTATGCACAATCTGTGCTGCTTGTGCAGCTTCTGCAGCGTCTCCGATGGGAGCGGACGACGGCACTGCTGTTGGTGCACTTCACGTTGCACTCGATGGCTGCCGAGATGAGGACGTGCCGGTTCGGCTGGCGGCTATTCGAGCACTACAGACCCTCGCGTCCCAGAGGGGAGGCATTGGTCCAGGTGTGGTGCAGCTGCGGGCTCTCATGAGGGATGCAAATGCCTGCATTCGAGAGGGGGCCCTCACAGCGCTGCGTCAAGTCGAGTCTGAGAAGAATGTGGAAGCAGAAGGAAGTGTGGCTGAAGCACTGGGGGAACTCCTGCAATGCTCGGACTGGAGTATATGGCTGTGGGCGCTCCAAAAGCTTCCAAAGCGAGAGCAGGCTTGGCAGCTTCTGCAGCGCCTGAACAATCGGAACGCGGGCTCCGAAGACTCCGAAGACTCCGAAGGCTCCGAAGACTCCGAGGGCTTCGAGGTCGAGGTGATGCAAAGCATGTCCTCGGCCGTGAAGCGCGGGGTTTTGGGGATCCTGTGTGGGGCCTTCCGCGAGCTCCCCGAGCTCCCCGAGCTCCCCGAGTTCCTGGAGCTCCTCGAGACCAGCCTCCGCTACGCCGCCCTCGGCCGCCGTGACTCCTCCGAGGAGGTGCGGGCCGCGGCGCTGGAGGTGCTGGGCGAGCTGGTGGAACCCTGCGCGATCTGTGTGTTTGTGGGCCTGGCAATGCCTTGCAGGCCTGTGCAGCTGCTGGTGCAGTCCTTGGCGGACCCGGTACCAGGTGTGAGAGAAGGGGCGGCTGCGTGGCTGGTGTTGGCAGCTGACGGCCTGGACAGCCGTGACCGACGTGAGGTTCTGGACAAGTTGGAGCTTTGCATGCAAGGCGACACTACCCGGAAAGTCTGGGCGATATCAGTTCTCGGACGCTTAGGTCGCTTAGAGGCAGAGGCTCTGACCAGCGAGGCCTTGCACATCGTCATGTCATGCCTTGAGGATGCCGTTCCGCTCGTTCGTGTAGCTGCCTTGCGAGCCGTATCCATTCTCGACAAGGCAGGTGCTGCATTGTCCAAGGCTTTACGAGCATCAGGCTGTGATCCGGATGCTGCGGTTCGAAGCGCTGCCTGGACGTTGCGACAGACGTGCGGTGTGAGTGACGTGAGTGACATAGACATCGATTCAATTGTGTCTGGTCTTATCCGAGAGCCCGCCTCTTTGCAAGACTTCCTTCGCGATGCGCAACCGAAGTGGACTGACAGTGAATTGAGTGCTGCCCTTCGCAAGCTTCAGCACGTGGGTATCGAATCCGTTGCGCAGCTGGAGCAATCATTGCCCAGTTTGAACAGGAGACTGTCCGCTGCTGGATTGCGTCGCTTCAGCCGAGAGACTCTCAGCTTGCTGGGATGCAAAAAAGTGCGGAGAAATCTGCTCTGTATTTCGCAACTTGCGCATCCGCGCCTTTGTCGGGGCATCGGTTGAAGCTGTCTGTTGTTGCCGTGTCCCTGTTGTCGTGCTCTGTGCCAAGGCGCGCCATCTCCAGACAACGCCACACTTTGCTCCGCACCCGGAGCACTGTGATCTGTTTTGAGACTCCGCCTATATTCTGTAGCATGCCTCATTTTGCAGAGTGCGCGCACAGGAAGCCTGCAACAAAAAGTGAATCAAAGCTCGCTTCGGATGCATAGGTGTTAGAGACGTCAGAGAGCCACCACCCCGACGGACCCCTCAGGGATCCAACCTCTTCGTGTCTTCACGCATCAACGTCTGCTTCACAATGACATCCTGGATTCGCTTGTTGCCTCTGCATTCAATGAAATCGCACATCATCTCTACTGCAATGAATCACATGACTCTGTTTTTCTGGGGTCTACTCAGCAACCATCTAATCAGTGCTACCCACCGTACCATCTGTTGCTTTTCCGTTAACAAAACTCTTCAACAGTCAGAACTCTAGAGCTCCAAAATCCCCAATTCCCCAAAGCTTAGGAATGTTAAGGCTCAGTGATCCAAGATTTGCAAAGTGGCCAAAATGCAAAATCCAAAGCTCCCAAAGGTTTTTGGCGCAGAGTTGCCAGGTTTCACAATTCCAAAGTTTAAACTTTCGATATATATATATATTGGTACTGCGGATAATTCGTCTTCCATAATTGGAGGCCAAATATCGTTTTTCAAGCCATGCTGCCTGAATGGCCGGGAATATTGGAAGAGAATGAAGGACAGCTACTGGGACAACCGATGTGCGACCAAAAGTAACTATCATAATCGCGGCCAGTTTTCGTTTTTCATGGGGGCTAGTTACAGTCGTTGGATAGTTGTCATAAACCGGCTTGCTTTCTATGGTGTAACTAGGACTCGTTCTATTCATCGAACTGCAATATTAACGACAACAACGTTGCCGTCTCGAGCATCGAAGCTCAGTCAACGTGAATTAGGGCGGACCACGGATAATTGAAACATGGTGAGGTAAACCGGTAGAAGCCGGCACAAGTTTTACCGGTATCCAATATTCAACATCCAAGATTGCAGGGAGGTTTTCCAAGGTGAACCTTGGAAACATTGGGCGAGCTCATGTTTCCAAGATTCGTCCGGAAGACCAACAAACAGAAAGAAACACAAAAGAACAAAAGGTTAAGCTGGGGAGGGGGTACCATATTCATATATAGATCTATATGTATGTATGTATGTATGTATATATATATATATATATATATGAGAGGGACCTTTATGTACTATGTTGCCACTTTTTTTTGTTTATATATTAATTATAAGAATAATTTAAATAATTGAGTAAATTAAGTGAGCTCAAGAATTCAATTAGTTCAAATGTTTGAATTCTTTGAATTCTTGGGGAGGCCCAAGAATTCAAAGAATTCAAAGAAATGAATTCTTTGAATTGCGTGCCCTCAGCCAGACCATTTAAATAATTCAAAGAATTTAAAGAATCCAAAGAATTCAAATATTTGAATTCTTTGAATTCTTGGGGAGGCCCAAGAATTCAAAGAATTCAAACATTTGAATTCTTTGAATTCTTGGGGAGGCCCAAGAATTCAAAGAATTCAAGCATTTGAATTCTTTGAATTCCGTGCCCTCAGCCAGACCATTTACAGAATTCAAAGAATCTAAAGAATTCAAAGAATTCAAATATTTGAATTCTTTGAACTCTTGGGGAGGCCCAAGAATTCAAAGAATTCAAACATTTGAATTCTTTGAATTCTTGGGCCTCCCCAAGAATTCAAAGAATTCAAATGTTTGAATTCTTTGAATTCTTGGGCCTCCCCAAGAATTCAAAGAATTCAAACATTTGAATTCTTTGAATTCTTTGAATTCTTTGAATTATTTAAATGGTCTGGCTGAGGGCACGGGATTAAAGATTTCAAACATTTGAATTCTTTGAATTCTTGGGGAGGCCCAAAAATTCAAAGAATTCAAACATTTGAATTCTTTGAATTCTTGGGCCTCCCCAAGAATTCAAAGAATTCAAACATTTGAACTCTTTGAATTCTTTGAATTCTTGGGCCTCCCCAAGAATTCAAAGAATTCAAATATTAGAATTCTTTGAATTCTTGGGGAGGCCCAAGAATTCAAAGAATTCAAACATTTGAATTCTTTCAATTCTTGGGGAGGCCCAAGAATTCAAAGAATTCAAACATTTGAATTCTTTGAATTCCGTGCCCTCAGCCAGACCATTTAAATAATTCAAAGAATCTAAAGAATTCAAAGAATTCAAATATTTGAATTCTTTGAATTCTTGGGGAGGCCCAAGAATTCAAAGAATTCAAACATTTGAATTCTTTGAATTCTTCTTTGAATTCTTTGAATTCTTTGAATTCTTGGGCCTCCCCAAGAATTCGAAGAATTCAAACATTTGAATTCTTTGAATTCTTTGAATTCTTTGAATTTTACATGGTCTGGCTGAGGGCACGGGATTAAAGATTTCAAACATTTGAATTCTTTGAATTCTTGGGGAGGCCCAAAAATTCAAAGAATTCAAACATTTGAATTCTTTGAATTCTTGGGCCTCCCCAAGAATTCAAAGAATTCAAACATTTGAACTCTTGAATTCTTTGAATTCTTGGGAGGCCCAAGAATTCAAAGAATTCAAATATTAGAATTCTTTGAATTCTTGGGGAGGCCCAAGAATTCAAAGAATTCAATTTGAATTCTTGGGGAGGCCCAAGAATTCAAAGAATTCAAAATTGAATTCTTTGAATTCCGTGCCCTCAGCCAGACCATTTAAATAATTCAAAGAATCTAAAGAATTCAAAGAATTCAAATATTTGAATTCTTTGAATTCTTGGGGAGGCCCAAGAATTCAAAGAATTCAAACATTTGAATTCCTTGAATTCTTGGGCCTCCCCAAGAATTCAAAGAATTCAAACATTTGAATTCTTTGAATTCTTTGAATTCTTTGAATTCTTGGGCTTCCCCAAGAATTCAAAGAATTCAAACATTTGAATTCTTTGAGTTCTTTGAATTCTTTGAATTCTTTGAATTCTTTGAATTCTTTGAATTCTTTGAATTTTTTAAATGGTTTGGCTGAGGGCACGGGATTAAAGATTTCAAAGATTTGAATTCTTTGAATTCTTGGGGAGGCCCAAGAATTCAAAGAATTCAAACATTTGACTTCTTTGAATTCTTGGGCCTCCCCAAGAATTCAAAGAATTCAAACATTTGAATTCTTTGAATTCTTTGAATTCTTGGGCCTCCCCAAGAATTCAAAGAATTCAAACATTTGAATTCTTTGAATTCTTTGAATTCTTTGAATTCTTTGAATTCTTTGAATTCTTTGAATTCTTTGAATTATTTAAATGGTCTGGCTGAGGGCACGGGATTAAAGATTTCAAACATTTGAATTCTTTGAATTCTTGGGGAGGCCCAAGAATTCAAAGAATTCAAACATTTGAATTCTTTGAATTCTTGGGCCTCCCCAAGAATTCAAAGAATTCAAACATTTGAATTCTTTGAATTCTTTGACTTCTTTGAATAATTTAAATGGTCTGGCTGAGGGCACGGGATTAAAGATTTCAAACATTTGAATTCTTTGAATTCTTGGGGAGGCCCAAGAATTCAAAGAATTCAAACATTTGAATTCTTTGAATTCTTTGAATTCTTGGGCCTACCCAAAAATTCAAAGAATTCAAACATTTGAATTCTTTGAATTCTTTGAATTCTTTGAATTATTTAAATGGTCTGGCTGAGGGCACGGGGTTAAAGATTTCAAACGTTTGAATTCTTTGAATTCTTTGAATTCTTTGAATTCCTTAAATTATTTAAATGGTCTGGCTGAGCGCACGGGATTAAAGATTTCAAACGTTTGAATTCTTTGAATTCTTGGGCCTCCCCAAGAATTCAAAGAATTCAAACATTTGAATTCTTTGAATTCTTTAAATTATTTAAATGGTCTGGCTGAGGGCACGGGATTAAAGATTTCAAACAATTGAATTCTTTGAATTCTTTGAATTCTTCGAATTATTTAAATGGTCTGGCTGAGGGCACGGGATTAAAGATTTCAAACATTTGAATTCTTTGAATTCTTGAGCACAAGAACTTAATTAATTGAACTAATTTCTTGTCTGCTTGAAACAGAAACGTGTAACAAATCCATTATGTTCACCATATTTGATTTTTAATTCTTGTCAATGTCCTAAAGGACCACGTCGAGAAAAATGTTTAGTCTTACATGAATAAGAAATAAAACATGATATATAAATCATTTTCATCTACATAATCATAAACGCAATATTTAAAATAATGCTTTCTTGTCGTTGTGCATCAACTCGGAGTGCTGCTATCGGCCTTCGGGAAGCAGAGTACTGACATCGGTCTCTGAACACGGTGGTACTGTTATCGGTCCACCGTCTCCCTCATCCTTCGTTTTATTATATCTCGCCAACTTCATATTTAGACACGGTGGGACTGTTATCGGTCCACTGTGTCTAATGCTATAGAGTTTATATTTGTTTGTGTGACTGTTTTCATATGGTTCAAGTTTTCATACCAAAGCAAGAATAACTCGTTAGCTTTTGTTCTCAAGATGAAAGCGGATGGATAATGTCTGCTTCAAATAGTAAAATCACAAGTTCGTGTTCTTAAGATCATCTTTTTTTATGTCAAGAGCCAAATCGCAACACCCTTGGTTTCTAAGATTGGAGGAGGGTCGGTTGTGGGGGCGGTGGGGGTGCAAAACAACAGACGGGATACCAGATTTTGTTTTTCTAGAAGGAGTAGAAACAACAACCTCATACGAGAGGGAGGGGTGCTGAAAGATGAGACGGAGCACAAGATTTTATTTCTACTACTAGTACTTAAAACAAAACCCTCCTGGGGTTGTTGGGTGGGCTGAGGGGTGCAGAACAACAGACGAGGCGCCAAATGTTACTTTTTTTAACAGAAAGTACAAGAAACAACAACATCAGAAGTAGCCATGTGGTTAGAACCACAGGCCCCTTACACTCCTACACGCCTTGCACTCCTTACATCCTCTCACCCCTCTTACACCCTTACACCCCTTACACCCCTTAAACCCCTTATACCCCTTACACCCCTTACACTTCC